TTAATAGATGTATGTATATATTCCATCGAACCTTGTTTGAATGCCACTCGACGTTTATCCTCAATCCCTTCTTTATATAAGAACATCAGCAGATCTTTTCTAAATGTACAGAACTTCATGACGTTGTGGGTTTCAAAATATAGAGAAAGCATTTCGCAGGCCCCTTCCTAGCTATTCTCGATTTTTCGTTTCTCTATCACTGTGCGACGCAAAGAAAGCAAAGAAAGCAAAAGTTGTTGGTTTTATGGCATGCGTTGATTTTACTTTTTCTTTTTGCGTCGCCGTCAACGTTGCCGTTATTATTATTATTATAATTTCTAGTCTCCCGTGAGAGTGCGAAAGAGGGAGCGCGAGTTGAGTGCACACACACACACACACACATGCAGGCAGTGAAGAAAAAAGAAAGTGTAAAAGCAAAAGTATAATATGGCAATGGCTTTGCATGCAGCTGAGAGCTCCAAACTTGTAGCTGAGAAGCCTTCCCCCGTAGCAAAAAGAGTTGCACACACACAAACGCACACACACACACACTCACACACATATGTATATACGCACACGCACATACATTCCTGCGCTTAAGCTGCGGCAGTGTGAGTGTCCAGACAAAACTTTACTGCTACTTTTTTTTCAGCTGGCAGCGTTCATGATGTTGACTGCTTCTTTTTCTAGATAAATTTTTATTTGAATTTATGCATTTATGTGTGTGTGTGTTTGCGTGTGTGCGTGTGTGTGTGTGTGTGCTTGTGCATGCATAGTCATATAATTGCATACTCTATGGCGGCTCGAAAAGTTCAAGCCTGCAATAATTGGCGATATGTTGGGCTATAGGGATAATGGATTGTCTCTTCTTTGTAATCATTTTCTGAATTCCTGATCGTTATTGGAACGATGTTATCAGAACGATATTTTTGCCAGAATGTATTTAACTTAATGCCCATATCGATGATACATCATTACACTACTCCGCAGGCAAGAAATGGAACTTCAATGCAGTTCGACAATGCAGTTGAAGAATCTACGTACATTTATTTCCATAACAATCAGTAATGAAATAGCTGTGCTAAGGCGAAATTACTGTACTGATATATAGGCCTTTAAACGATTGCAGGTGCTATCGATAACAGAATTAAATGCGCCCCGGCACACATCGTTGCAGTCATAAAAAACTTTCCAAAAAGTATTGTGCAGAGTATTTAGCACCAGCATAGCCGAAGCTAAGTTTTTTGATCTTTACATTTTTTTGTGAGCCTCCTCTGCGCTTTGACAACATGTTGGCTGTGCGTATTGGGGAGTGGGGGGCCCCACTTCCCCATTCTCGGCAATACTGTCTCGTCAAGCGTTGCAGTGCAGAGTGCGTTTTTACTTTTTTGTTTTTTGTTTTTTACTTTTCTCTTCTCTGCAGCCTTCAGCCAAAACAAAAAATATGCGCAGCATAAGAACTGCACGAGGTAAGAAACATAATAAAAATAATAATAATAATAAAAAAAAAAACAGAAAAAAAACGCTTACGACAACATTGGCGACTATTTTTTATGTCTTGCTGGTTGTGGCCCTTTTGTGTGTTTTTGTCGAAAAAATTTCGTTTGAAAGGCAAGACGGTGGGGAATTTTTCGAAAGAGGAGAGCTGTGGAAAAATATATTTGCCGGAAGCTAAATGTTTTGCCAGTTTTTTATTTTATTTGATTTCTTTTTCGTGAGCTTTTTTTGTATTTTTTTTATTTTGTTTGCTTTGACCGTTGATGTCGTTTAAATGAAAAGATGAAGCTCACACACACACACACACAGATAGGAGGGGAGACACACGCAGACGCGTGAACGGCAAAAGTACAGTTGAGCCTTGCAGATGCGCCTAAATGTATGCTTCGCACTGAATGCCTGACGTCAGAGGACAAATGACAGAACAAACACTGGCGTTCGGACGATGCCTAATGGCACAAATACATATCGTATATACAATATGTATGAGTTTGTTGTGTGTGTGTGTGTGGAAATAAATAAATTACAAAAATCGGGCCACCGTGTAGTATGGGACATGCGATATTTTTTTTACTGGACTGAACAATTTCGTTGTTGGTCATTGTTTACTTTCGGGAATGAGAGAGAGTTCTGTGGCTCGTGTGTCGCATTTCTAATTAAAAACTTGTTATGTCTCTCCCACGTGTCACAGTTTCCAATTTAATCGCTCCCTCCCCATTTCAAATCCACTTTGACGGACTGTAGTACCAGAGCTAATTAAAAACTTTACTACAACATTGCAGCCCCAACTAATCATGTTTCGACATGGTCGCAAAGCGTGACCCTGAAAGTATGCTACACTTTTTTCCTATTTTCCTACATGTTCGTAGGAAGTTTTTAAAAAGTGTTGTGGAAGAGAAGAATGAAGAAGTGCGTGCCATCCACAAAAGATCGACCCACGAAATCTCTTCTGTAAAATATATAATTTCATAAAATATACAATAATTTGCTTAGCCGCCTGCATAAATAAAATTTGCTTTTGGCAGCATTAAGAGTTGATTTCTTATAAAAATAATAACGTTTGGTGCTTCCAAGTTAACAGCCTCTTGCACTTAAGCGCCTCATGGTGGTAGTCCAATTTTCCATTTTCTATGAATATTAATAAATTTAGTTGCGCCATCTATGAAACATTTCTATCAAGTTATGTAGCCCCTTTATATTCTATAAGAATGGCAGTGTGTACATATTTTTTGTACTAACGTTTTTTGTTTCGATCCTGGCTGTTGTCTTTCAGTGCATACATACATCATTAATTGTTAAATTATAAAAATGGCTAAAACAAAACGCGTAAAATAAATATATATCGCAGTTGTTAGCTGCCTCAAAAGAGAGTCTGTGCAAAGTATTTAATATAATAATAATTATGCTGTATTTCATATTTCATTTTCAAATATTGTAAACATTGCATTTTTTATTAGATTTAAGTGTGTCCCAGATTCTTTTATTCCCCATTAATACTCAACTAGCTTTAGCTGTAAATATCTTTTAGTTTTAAAAGAAAAATTTAAGAAAACAGTCGCAGAACTTACGAGTTGAAAACATTTAGCAAAAGCAGAGAAGGTAGGAGCTTCTTCGGGATTATTTATGTGAGCATGTGATTTCGAATGAATTCACATTTAAGTGTCATGTCCGAATATTCTCCACAAGGGCTTCGATATTTTTAGAATCATGGCGATATTCGAAAAGCGAAATAAACAGTTTGGTGAAAATGCTGCTCGAAATGTGCAAAGCTATTAACTAATTTCGTTGTTATTACCTTTTTACCTGCAAATTTCAATGGAACTGCTGCTTTAGAATAAAAAAAATAATGAGCGAAAATATAATTGTATGTGCGGGGAGTTTGTGCCTTTTTAGAAGCAATTAGGAATTGTAACTCAAATGAAGAGGAAAACAAAAGATCATGCGTAAGGTCTGGGCACAATATCTGGCTATACAATGCATACTCTACATATACATATCTACATATGTATCTACAGTTCACTAAAGCTAGTGTAGGGCAGTGGCATGTAAATCGAATATTTTTTAAGCTTAAACAAATGTAGTTGTACATGTGTATGTGTGTGTGTGTGTGTGTGTGTGGAGGGAGTGTTTGTTTGCGTAGACCAGGCAGCTGGCAGCCATATTGAAAATTATAGTGTCGTAAACATGCAACAACAACAACAACAGCAAAACAACAACAGCAGCAACAGCAAGAGCAACGGTGGAAAAATTAAATTAAAATAGAAAACAAACATGGTGAACAAATAAAAAATTAAAAAAGGGAAAGCAAGAAAAACAGCGGACATGAGAGTTAAAAAAGGGTCAAAAAGCAGTCGTGAATTGCAAACGGAAATTGCCAACTATGTTGCAATAATTGTGTCTCTATGTGTGTGTGTGTGTGTGTGTGTGTGTGTGGCAAGCGGATTTGTTAGTCACACACACACACACACATACATATAGCTTGTGTGTAACCGAAAAAAATAAAACTAAATAAATAGAGCGCAATAGGAAAATGGGAAAAATTATTGCATATACTGTACGGCAGTACTGTGGTGTATGTCCGTGTGTATGAGTGAGCGAGCTAGAGAGGAGAGAGAGACACACACACACAAAGAGAGAGAGAGAGAGAGCACTACGACACACACACAGATAAAACTAAGCAACTTTTCTACTAAACATTATGGTTTTTGTTTTTGTTTTGTTATTTTTTGTTCTGTAGCTTAACAACAACAAAAAAATAAAATGAAAATGATTTGAAAAAAATAGATATATATATATATATATATATATATATATATATATATATATATGGATATGTATATTGGTAGATATATATATATAGTAGTATAGGTATATATGTATATATATATAAAATTCATAGACAAAGAACACGACGAAGAGCAAAAATATATGTTGAGTTTTGATTTGTTTGCTTTGGTTTGCTTTTCATATTGTATATTGTTTTGGTTTTTTTGTAAATTTTTTAATAAAATATTTATATATATAAATATGCATGTATGTATATAAAATGTATATAAAAGAGAGACAGAGAGCAATACGTAATGTTGTAAGTGTGTGTATACATCGATAGAAATAGCAGAGAGAGATTAGGTGAGAGTGAGTGTGTTTGTGAGAGATTTTTATAGATAGATAGACTGATGGACAGAGAGAGAGACAGAGAGTGAGATGACAGAGTGAGAGAGAGAGAGAGCGGGGGGGGGCGTTTGAAGGTGTGATTTTGAAGTTAAGAATATTTTCAATTTGTTGTTTGTTTGTATAAATCCGGTTTAAAAATTGTTTGCAAATTGTTTCTATTTGTTTTTGTTGAATATTATTTTTTAAGTTTTTTGTTTTGGACAGAAAATTTTGAAGACCTATCGAAGCAGCAAAAGCATTCGGGATTGTTGATAGTTATCAGAGGAATCAGGGTAAGGGCTAGGTAGAACGCTTGGAAGATTGGAGAGTGGGGTTTTGTGTCTGGTTCATGTCTGTTCGTTAACACTTACCGACTCGTGCGAGGCGCGGTAGTCAAGATCGCCGCCCAGGCCGCCGCCAGCTGATGCCGAACGCGGTTGCATGTGTCTGCTGTGACTGCTGTTATCGTCTTCACTGCAATCGATCTCTTTCTTGAGGCTCTGCGTGTTCGTGGAAAGAGAAGGAGAGAACATTGTAGACCATTGAGGCAAATGTGTGGGAGCAGCTTATGTGCGAGTAACGGTAATAATTATTTTGTCTGTGCCTGTCGATACTTTTGAAAGGTCGCTAAAACTGTGTAATCGATCTAAAGTATTCAGTTTCTGATGTACAATATAATAATCAAGAATTAAAACATTGATAAACCAACTGTTGATAAGTAGCTTAACTTAGTGTGCGATCGATTTTCCTGTTTTGTATTTGATTACTAATTTAATTTGTAATTGGTTGCCGAATCGCTTCTGTTATCGATTATACTACATGTGAGTCTCTGATCGGAATAATATTGTGTACATCTGTATATGATAAATGTAACAACGAGGCATGTGTATCTAATCACAATAATACGTCTATATGACATATCTATCTATATAAATTTTCTATCGAAATGTAACGTGTATCGATTCAACGATCACAAAATATTTGTATAGCATCTGTCTGGATGATCCTCGTTGTGGGACTTCCCCAAATCAAATGCGGTTAAAGTTGATTTTCTATTTCTCCCCCTTTTTGCTGCTAGAGAGCTACAGAGACCGCCTCTTTGTACAACTAGGATAGGATAGTTCCAACTTACCAATGGCACCGATTGCACTGGCAAGAGGCCGGCCACCGAGCTAGGACTCAGATCGCCGACATTAACGCCGGGCAGCGTGACCGTCGATGAGGATGGACGAGCGTCTGCAACGCCACAGCCTAGGCCGCTGCTACCTGGCGCACCATCGCGAGAGCTGCGCGAGGCGGGTCGTGGTTGTGTGAGGTCCGAGGCGCCCGAAGCGCCTAAGGCTGCGGGCGTAGAGCGTGCCGATTCGGCTGCCGCTGATGATGAGCCTGGTTGCGTAATCAGCGGCGATGGTATGACGGTTGAGCCCGTCGAGAGATCCACACCGCCGCCGCCGCCACCGCTACTGCCGGCAGCACCAATGCTGCTGCTGCTCATCTTCATATTGATGCCCATGTCATTGGAGCTGTTGTCAGCCTCATCGTCATCGTCCAAATCCATTTCATCGTCGTAGTCATCGTCGAGCACTTCCCGCTTGGTCACAATGCCGTGCTCATCATTCAGATCGTCGTCGTCCTCTTCATCGTCATCGACATCGATTGAACGCAAATGTTGTGGCATGCGACTGTGACCGTGACTGTGACTGTGACCGTGACTGTGGCCGTGACTGTGGCCGTGACTGTGAGTGTGAGTGTGACGTGCCATGCGCTCGGCAATGTCATGGGCGACGGTCGCTGCAGCCACACGCTCATCATCCTCATCATCATCGTCATCATCTTCGTGGCGGACATTTTCGACATCATCATCATCATCATCATCGTCGCCATAATCGATAATGTGATGGACATGATGGGCTGCGGCTATTGTTACTGCTCCAGCTGCTGCTGCTGCTGCTACTACTTGTGCGTGCGGTGGCTCGTCTCCAGCGGCTCCAGTGGCTCCAGCGGCTTCGCCGCCATTCTTGTTGCTGCTGCTCCCGCTGCTCGCTCTGTCGCTCTCTTGCTTAATTTGGTTGTTGCTGCTGCTGCTGCTGCTGTTGTTGTTGTTATTATTATTGTTGCTATTGTTGTTGTTGTTGTTACTGCTCCTGCTATTGTTATTGTTGTTGCTGAGCGTTGTTGTGCCCTCGACAGAGGCAGCGCGTTGTCGTCTGCAATAGAGATCGAGGGCCATTGGTGTGTTCTCATCCACATCCTCATTATCATCTTCATCGTCGCGATCATCACGATCAGTTGCCGCTGTCGCTGTTGCAGTTGCAGGCGCGCCTGCGGGCGACGCCGATCCTATTGTGGCTGTTGCAGTTGTTGTTGTTGCTGTTGCATTTGCCAGCAATCGCTTTGGTGGCGTCGCACTGCAGCGCTCGCTCGCCTCTCGTTTCAGCGACATTGTTGGGCCCGTTGTTGTTGCTGCTGCTGCTGCGGCTGCTGCGTCTGCTGATGCACAGGTGGCTGTTCCCGTTGCATCTGCAGCTGCTGCTGTTGTTGCTTTTGCTGGCGCTGCTGCTTGTGGTGCTGTTGTTGTTGTTGCCGCTCCGCCACCGCCTCCACTGCCCGCACTACTATTGACTGTGGACATGGCGCTTTCTGCCGCCGCCAGCGCCGCTGCGGCCGCCGCTGATGCTGCTGCCGCTGCTGCTGATGTGGCAATTGTTGTTGCTGGTGCTGTTGCCGTCCCTGACGCCGTTGTGGCCGATGTGCTGGCCAGAGCCGCCGCTGCCGCATCCACTGCCGGACTGTTGTCGCATGAGGAGGCCGCCGATGTGGTCGCGGATTTGCCACTGGGCTGTGAATGCGGTCGCAGGCGATCCGGTTCACGTTCCGGTTCCCGTAATGTTGTATTCTGATTCGTCATTTCGGCCAGACCCTTGACCTGCAACAGTTCATGCAATCCATTAGTCAGGCAAACAATATTCAAAAATTTACGAACTATACGAAATACAAAGCAAATCGTCCCCTAACTTATATTTTCTTATATTTATGTTCCCAATGTTGATAATTAAACGATTTATTGTCCATAACTTATCAATCTACTAACATACTAGATGCCCTAAGTTAATCATCTTCCATCGTCTTTTGTTTGTTTAGTTCATTTATTAATTAGTTCGAATATAGTCTACAGTTTCTAAAACCCTGAATCTACATTATCAACTATATTCTTGCACATTTTTAAACATTTAACATAATCATCTTCTAAATCATCTAATAGGTTATCTTGTAGATCATCTTCTAGATCATCTTCTAGCTCATCTTCTATCATCTACATTTGTTATTTGTTTGGTTGCTGGGATTTCTTTGCTTCTAATCTTTAAGAAGAAACAAAGCAGTTCGAACAAACTTCGAAGCACTTTCTTGAAAGTCTTCAGCTATGACTATTGGCATTTCGTATAAACGTATAATTTTGAATTCAGATCAACAGCCTTACCTTGAGTGATTCGGCTGTTTTCAGCAGCGCTGACAACTGACAATATTGCACGTTCACCTCGCCCTTGTACATGAATTCAACTAAAGTTTGCAGCTCGGCAAAACGGACGTCCTTCAATATCACAATTGGGTGTCTTTCGGGGTGCTCCAGAAAGAGGCTCTGGAAATATGAGGAACAGGCCGAGAGGACCACCTGCAATGGCAAAAATTGAAAATGCAATCAATACTCGTTACATAAATAATATGTATAATGTGCACTAATATTATAAATATATTAAAAGACTATACTCTTAAGATAATAAAAAGAGCAGTGTCGAGTTTATTTATTTATCAATCAATCAATTCTTGCGTTGTTTAATTTTTTCTTGTTCCTTAAGACATAAATTGTGTCTAGTTGTGATAAAGTACTGCGTTTATTTCGATCCAATCTAGGCATCACAAAATTTGGATTCTTCTAGTTCGATCAAACATGTCCGAATATTTTACTATCTGAATAACTCGCTCAATCAAATAATGCTTTTGATTGCGATTGAGACCATTCCATTCCATTCCATTAATGTATGAAAAAAAATCAGTAGGTGTCCGTTTTAAGAACTCCTTCAATCATTGATTGATGAGTCTTTAAACATTGCAAGCTGACGTACACATTTGATTGCAAATAGAGCTGCAAAGATGCGGCTGTGCTCTGAACAGTTCCTTTCAATCAATCACGAACGGATTGAGTGAAGAGGACACGCCTTCGCCTAAACGCAGGACAATTAAATGTTTCTCTCTCCCACTTCCTTGTCATTCAAAGTGGCATCAATATTGATTATGTTCGGGGCCCGATAACAATAACAGTTAGTTATACGAGCATGCATTGATATCCGTGCTGGGCAATTTGACGGTTTTATGGATGCACATTTGCGCCATCAACACCAGCAACAACGCACCCAACAACAACTGGAACGACAGCAACAACAAAAGTATTGCTTGAAGCTAGCGCTATGACTTATTTGAGTTTTGCATACAAACTTTTTCATCGGCCAGGCTGTTGGCCAAGTTGGTGCAGCAATCAAGGTGTGTTACTATCTGCCGGCGAATGGGAATGGGAATGGAAAGGCAACAACAACAACAACAATAACAACAACAACAAGAGCAACAAGAGCGGCAACAACATTTATTAGATTTACGATTCGAGCGCGAAATGTAACAGCGCCAATGCCGCAGCTTTGAAGATGTGGCTCCCAACCTCTATCCGCTCGTCCTCCTCCACAGCCATGGCCATAGCCAATAGCCATGGCCATGATCATGACTGTTCTGCTCTCTACAGCCTCCCTCCCCGCACAACCCGCTCATGACTGCGGGCGCTGACGGCTCAACCGTTCAAGCATTCAAGCGAAGGCGTGAACACAGCACGACGTCGAATGGCAATGACAATGCTGGCCAGGCGCATGCGCAGCCTTAGGGCGCTTAGGCAACAGCAACAACAGCAACATAAAGCAACAACAAAGAGCACAGCAACAGCTAATAATGAAAATACAATTTGTGCAGTTTTATCGCAAAGCTCGAATACGCTTCACAACCTTTCACAACTAATTAAGCATCAATACTGAAAAGAATTATCAGTTGAAAACAATTCAAGGATTGAAGAAGATGAAAAAGTGTAAGTTGTAAATCCTATTCAAAAAAATGTCTTCTTCCAGAACTACATATATACATTCTTTCTTCCTTATTTTATTTATTATAAATCAACATTAGAGGTGTAGGTTTGAATGCATTCTGAGTTGAAAACTACACTCTTTCAGTCAATTCTGCAGATTTGTCTATGCTCTGTATTATTATAGAGTTCAGCAGAATATAAAATCTGTCACAGCTAGATCGTGATTCAAAAATACATTCGAGATTGCAAAACAGTAGCTTCAATTGATATCAAAACTAATTCTCAAAAATTTGTTTTGAAATACTCTTTTAAAGTTGTTTTTTATTACATTTGTTTTCAATTTCAATTCACTGACTAACTCGTTTTGGTAAAATTGCTTAGAATCACCTTTTTCGATAATATATGCAATAATATATCTATAAATGTTGATTAAGCTTAGTTAGTCCGTCAAGCCATCTTTGGAAACTTCTGAATTACTAGAGAGAGACTTAGCATGTAGGTTTGACAAAAACAGATACTCTTATTTCCTATTAAAATAATAATTAATTTTTATAATTTTTAAACTAAAAAGAGTAAGAAACTTAGGTATGTAGATATATATAAATATGAGGAATCTTAGCTGAATAAAAAATATAAAAAAATAAACATATGTGTCTCCTGACAAATATCTGTAATAGAATTTTTTGGAATATATATTGAACTGGCTTCCGTTTGAAAATATAGGTTTTCTCCACAGCTCACAAAAATCGCCCATAAATAGATAAATATAGTAAATCAAGTGCATGTGAAATTTGAAAAAGCAATAATTTATGCTTTTGCTCTTCAATTTAATAATATAATAATTAAATGAAATTGATAACTATTTGAATAATAATCGTTGTAACAATTAGGAGCCTAAACAAATACATACTACTTATACAGAACTGCTTATGTGGCATTACTTCGCCTTCGATTTGTTTGAATTGCAAATAATAATAATAATAATAATAATAATAATAATAATAATAATAATAATAATAATAATAATAATAATAACACTAATATTTGCTACAAAAAGAGATTTCTTTCTTCCTTATGTAAGTATTTTAATTATCTGTTAGTTAGAATTTAGTTTCTTCCTTTACTTACTATTTGTTGTTAGGAGCCGTTGATAGACAATATTGCACATTTATTTTGTAGGCTTTGCTAGCTTTTTAGTTGAAATTGTAACCTCATATTAAATCACATCTTTTATTTAATACTGTAATTTGTATCAACAGCCTATTAGGTTGATTTGAAAAAAAATGTAGAAAAATATTCTTCGAATTGTAAACTTGAATGCATGATGCCCGCTGGTGGAGGGTATTTCTAGCTATATGTGTAGGCAAGTATTGTATGAATCGTGTTGCCTCCATGCCGTACAGCCATGCTGTTCGTATTCCAATGCGTTGGCCTCGCTAAGCTGCCGCTGATTTTAATGTGCGCATGCACGCCTAGGGGTATGCAATGGGAAATGCTTTTGCGCAGGCGCTAACGATTCAACTTTTCGGCTCATGTTATAAATTTTCATTGCGGCGAAAATTGAAAAGGCGGCCAAAGGAGGCAGCATCGAATGAGCGGACATAACATAGCTTTCGGAATTTGGTGCGCTGGTGAAAATTTCAATTTGCGGAAAGTATCGAAAATGGCGTCGAATCTAATGAGGTTTCGGTGCGCATGGAATTTATGAGTAGCAGCCGCGGCAGAGACTGAGCCAGCGACTGAGGCAGCGACAGCAGCAGCAGCGGCCTGTCACGCACCGTTTGCGCTAGAATTTATTTAAAATGCAATCTGGTATCGGGAGAGCGCACGCCCCCAACATGAAGCTGGAGCTGAAGCTGCAGCTGGAACCGGGCTGGGCCTTGGCCAACTTGTGGATGTGCATGGGGCATTGGCGAAGGTGGTGGCGGGGGCATGGGGGACGGGCACGGGTCGTGCAAAATGAGCGCTAATAAATTCACGCGCGTATTAGACGGCAAAAGTTGCCTGGACCAGCTGGCTGGTTGGCTGGCTCCTTGATCGTCTGGGCATGGCCCGTTGCGTATTAAGAAAATCGAATTTCCTGATTACAACGGCCAGCCGTGGCCAGCGAGGAGGTTGGCCCCCACTCCAGACTCCATTCCACACCACTCCAATCCAGACTCCACTCCACTCTACTCCACTCCAGTCCACCATTTCAGTCTAGTTTGGTAGCCTGTCTGCTGCTTGGCCTGCAAATTGGCAACACTTTTAATTGAACGCCCCAACGACCCGCAAACGTTTTGTTCCCCACTCCCCCGTCCTCGTCCCACTTAGCCATCTCCCTCCTCTGGCACTCATCCATTGGCCCGTTATTATTAACGTTAGCAATACGCCCCCAAAGCTAATGAACGCCAAAGGCTTTGATTTCTAACGCCAAGCCCAGTTGCATAGCTGCACAGCAGCACAGGCACGACGCGTCGCGTCGCGCCACAAAATGTTGCATGTAATTTGCTGTAAAATAGTCAACAACATAAATTTGCACAAAAACCACTGACAGCCACCAAGCAGGACCAGAAGGGGAGGGGTTGGGAGGTGTGCGAGACAACCAGGTAGTCGCCACTTTGCGTGCCCGTGGGCGTTACCTTTTCCATTTCAGTTCGCAAAATCGTCAACGAATTAAAAGCGGGTCGTTGAGAAACATTTAAATTAAATGAATAGAAATAATGCCAGAGTTATCGGAAAACGCTGCGCAAAGCAAGCAAAATTGTACGAGCAGGTGCAGAGTCCAAATCAACTGGAGCAGGAACAATTACAGATAACCATAAATATAAGCCTCTTCCCAAACCACAAAGACAATTTTCTAATCTCAATACTTTCAGGAGAAAAACAAATATTAACGTCAAAAATGTTTCAATATTGTTCAAGACTTTAAGTCATTCAAAGTGTTCTCTCCAGTTTCTCAACTCTTTCTTCTGCCGATCAATGACGTGTATATATTACTTTCTAAGCGATAAATATTCGTGAGAACACATGGGGATTGGGACATTTCTCTTAATTTTCAATAGTTTTCATCGATCTGCTAGAAAGAAATTGCGATTTTGAATACTTCAGCAAATGTTAAACTCTAATTTTATTTGAGATTGAACAAAAAATTCAACTTTAGAAGTTTTGAATGTTTAATAAAATGATTTTTTAAACTGTTGTGAAATTGTTTCTATGTTTCTAAATTGAAACTTGAATTTGAATAGCGAAATATTCTAATTTTCTCATTTCCTGATTTGTGAAATCATGTTTTTTTTATATGTATTTATAGTTATATTTTTTCCTTTTGAAAAAACCGAGAAAGCTGGTTGGTTAAGGAGGGTCAGGAGCTGCTGCGTATGCGATCGCTGATCGCTATGAAACTATTGTTAAGATAACGATCAATAGCTTAACAATAGTTTCATATCGATCAGCTATTGCCAGCTTTTGCCCTCAGCAGTGCTCACTCTTTTCTAATTCCACAATTAACTTTTCTCTAAAAGTTCCTCCAAATTAGAAACGTTTGCCACAGAACTGCAAAGCAATCGATA